GGCTAACTGGCATGTGGTCAGGCTGCCCTCATTGCCAGGGTTACAGTCCCTTGGGATCTCTCCCATTTACAGGACATGATACTCTCTCATTGAAACTGTATTTCGTGACCTCATTAAGAAAAGCAATAAACAAACAACATCCTGGGTTTGGTCCCTTTTTGTCCAGGCTGGTCTGTGACATCAGTTCACTGGTTCATCATTCAGGCCATAAGGTTTCATAACTTATAAGCCCTAATTCTTAATATCTTTTTCTTGTGAGGAAAAAACTCTAATTACCAGAGGAAGGTCACTGTGCTTCTCTCTCCTCATCTATCCTGTTCTGGGTGTTCCTGTATCATATGGAGAAGCCTCAGAGGCTGAGCAGAGCAGCTGCTGGTGGATCTGCTCCAGCTGCTTTTGTGGTTGAGCTGATGTTGTGAACCTTGCACACTGGAGGTTTGACCTCCCCCATTTCCATCAGGATCATGGATTAAGTGCGAGCTCTGCAAGACTGTGGATGACACCAAGCTGAGTGTTGTGGTTGGTTGTCGAGAGGGAAGGGATGGCAGCCAGAGGGGCCTGGACAGACTGGGGAGGAGGACCTGTGTGATGCTCATGGAATTCAAGAGAGCCAAGAGCTTGTGGGTTGTGTCTGTCCCTAACAGGGCTCCAGGCTGGTGGTGTCTGGTTTGAGAGCAGCCCTGTGGAGAAGGCTGGGAGAATATTGGTGGGTGAGGAACTGACTGGGAGCCAGGAAGGTGTCCTGGCAGCCCAGAAAGCCCCCGTGTGCTGGGCTCCTGGCCCCAGTGTGGGCAGCAGGGAGAGGGAGGGGATTGTGCCCCTCTGCTCCTTTCTGGGGAGATTGGAGTTGTGTGCTGAGCTCTGGGAGACTGAGAAGGAAAGCAGGGAGCTGTTGGTGGGATGCAGAGTAGAGCCTTGGGGATGATGAAGGGCTGGAGCCCCCAGTGTCCATGGAGACTGAAGGCAGCCCAGACTGGGAGTTTGTGTGCGAGTGTGGGTGGTGTGTCCAAGGCTGTGTTTGGGCAAGGGAAGAGTTTGTGTCCCATTGTGGAAGGTCCTTCTGTACCAGTCTCTGTTGAGGCTTGTGAAATATTTCCTAGGAGAGAGCTGGTCCCTTTCCCACCCATCCGATGGCATCTGGTGCCAGAGCTCTGTGGCAAATGAAATTCTAAGAGTCTTGGAGGAAGAAAGGATGAGGAGGCATGTCATGTTTTGCTGCAGGAGAACTTTATTGAGAGAAAGAGTGAAAGGGCAGAGAAGACAGTGGAAGGGATCTGGTGTGAGGTGCAGCAGGGCAACCATCAGCTGAGGTACTTGTGTTGTAGCAGATTTTGGCAGAGCCGGAGGTCGTGGTGTGAGGGAAGTTGTGGAGGGCCCTCAGCAGGTGGAGCAGCCCAGGCCTCCCAATCCAGAGCAGCCCAGGCCTCCCAGGCCGTAGCCAAAGCCACGGCCATAGCCCAGGCCGTAGCCTCCGGCCCCAAAGCCGCCGGAGATGGGCTGTCCCTGGACGTTGAGCTCCGTGCCCAGGGCAGCCCCTGCGGTGGATCCAACGAAGGAGCTCTGGGGGAAGGAGGTCATGATGGGCCCTGGGAAGGTGACGCGGACGGGGGAGGGCTGGATGAGGACGGTGGAGTCCTGGCACTGCCTGACACAGGGCTCGTTGCAGCTGTTGGCCAGCGGGGTGGGTCCGCAGGGGCGGCAGAGGTCGTAGCAGGCCATGGGTGTGGTGTGGAGGGGCCCTGGGAGGGCAGGCAAGAGAAGGGGAGAGAAGGTGAGAGCAGAGAGGGGTGCTCGGCAGGTGGGGGCGGTGGGGGTGCTCGGGGCGGGGTTGCAGGAGGGCTGGTCAGTGGGGAGGCTGGTGTGGGGCTGTGGGGAGGCGTGAGGGCTGCTGAGGCTGGGTCCGAGCATGCTGGCCGAGAGGGGCCAGGGGGGCGGTGTGTCAGGAGCAGGAGGGGGTTGTGAGGGGCTGGAGGCTCACCTGGTTGTGGGCAGAGAAGGCAGGAGAAGGCTTGAGGAGAAGCGTGGCAGGGAGAGAGGCGCTGGGCCGGCTTTTATGCTGCTCCCGCAGGGGCGGCACAGCCTTGGCACAGCCTTGGCCCAGCCCTGTCAGCTGGCGGCAGCTTTGAGGAGTTGGGATTTGGGAGGGTTGGATTGTTGGATGAGTATCAGGGAGGGGTGAATAAAGAATAAGAGCCTCGTAGAGGTGTGATGTCATCAGTGAGGTGATATTGTGACCTTCGTGTGCTGTGGTTCGTGGATGTGTTGAAAATTGTGGATCTTCTTGTTCAGTGTGACTGGATGTCCATTAGTCGTTGTGTTGTACCCAGGAATGCTGAGGGAGCAATTTGATGTCCTGGGGAGGTCACTCTCCATCAACTTGGAAAGGTCATAGTCCTTTGGAGCAATTCTTGAGGGATGAAAGAGAGCTCATGCCCTGGAATCATGATTGAGATCAAGAGAGAGGACCTGGAAAACTTGAGGCTGTTCAGGCTGAATTCAGGCTGGTCCAGTTCCATTCCTATGGTCCATTTGGATTTGTGAAATTTTCATGACAAGGTACTTTGTCATTTAAACTTTATTTCTTGACCTTCTGAAGAAATGCAATAAACAAACACCCAACTGGGCTGGATCCCTTTTTGCCCCTGTTGGTCTGTGATGGCAGTTCCCTTATTCCGCATTCAAGCCATGAGATTTCACAATGTATAACTCCTAAGTTTTAACATCCTGTACCTGTGAGCAAAAACTATAATTACTAGTGGATGGTCAGTGGGCTCCTCTCTCCTCTTCTGTCATTTTGCAGATGTTCCTTTGTGGAATTCTGTGGTTCCATGTCCTGCCCTTGAGGCCGCGTCCATCTGACCTTGGCAGCAACTTTGAGGAGTTGGTGTTTGGGAGGGTTGGATTGTTGGCTGTTTGTCAGGGAGGGCTGAAGAAACAAGCCGAGCCCAGGAGAGGTGTGATGTCATCAGTGAGGTGATTTTATGGCCCTCGTGTGCTGTGGGCTGAGTGGGTGAGGTGAGGTGTGTTTTCCTTTCCACAGTGCTCCCTTTCCGTGTGCTCCTCTTGCAGACGTGTCCTTGTGGCGGCAGCTTTGAAGGGAGAGTTGGTATTTGGGAGGTTGTGCCTGGAATGTGCTTGTGGGGGCACTTGGCAGGTGCAGACACTGCCCAGGAGAGGTGGGGTGTCCTCTGTGAGGTCACCTGATGTCACTCCCGTGCTGTGGTTTTGTGGAGTTCTTTCATCCCATGTCCTGCCCTTGAGGCCGTGTCTGTCTGACCTTGGTGGCAGCTTTGATGAGTTGGGATTTGGGAGGGTTGGAGGGTTGGAAGTGTGTTCAGGAAGGGCTGAATTAACAAAAAGGCCAAGGAAATTGGTGGTGTCATCAGTGAGGTCCCCCCATGTCCCTGGTGTGCTGTGGTTTGTGGGGACCTGGTGAAGATGAGGCCCCAAAGGCTGCCAGGCAGAGCTGCCCCCCTGGAGCCCAGGGCAGAGTTTGCAGGGGGTTTGTCAGGCGAGCAGTGAGTGTTGCTGGGCAAGGGGAAGCCCTGCAGGAAGGTTTGCTGTGTCACTGGGTGCACCTGTGCCCTCCGGGCCTGAGGTGCTGCAGCCAGGAATGCTGAGGGAGCTGCCTGATGTGCTGGGGAGGCCACTCTGCTCCTCTTGCCATCAGCTGCTCATGGTGCCAGTGCCTGGTGCGCTTCCTGAGGGCTGAAAGAGAGCTCCTGGCTTGGTTTGTGGAGGAAGAGCAGCAGTGACTCCCTGGCTAACTGGCATGTGGTCAGGCTGCCCTCATTGCCAGGGTTACGGTCCCTTGGCATCTCTCCCATTTCCAGGACATGATACTCTCCCATTGAAACTGTATTTCGTGACCTCATTAAGAAAAGCAATAAATAAACAACAGAGTGGGTTTGGTCCCTTTTTGCCCAGGCTGGTCTGTGACATCAGTTCACTGGTTCACCATTCAGGCCATAAGGGTTCATAATTATAAGCCCTAATTCTTAATATCTTTTTCTTGTGAGGAAAAACCTATAACTACCAGAGGAGGGTCAATGTGCTTCTCTTTCCTCGTCTGTCTTGCTGTGGGTGTTCCTGAATCATATGGAGAAGCCTCAGAGCCTGAGCAGAGCAGCTGCTGGTGAATCTGCTCCAGCTGCTTTTATGGCTGAGCTGATGTTTGACCTCCCCCATTTCCATCAGGATCATGGATTAAGTGCGAGCTCTGCAAGACTGTGGATGACACCAAGCTGAGTGTTGTGGTTGGTTGTCGAGGGGGAAGGGTTGGCAGCAAGAGGGACCTGGACAGGCTGGGGAGGAGGACCTGTGTGATGCTCATGGTATTCAAGAGAGCCAAGAGCTTGTGGGTTGTGCCAGTCCCTAACAGGGCTCCAGGCTGGTGGTGTCTGGTTTGAGAGCAGCCCTGTGGAGAAGGCTTGGAGGGTATTGGTGGGAGAGGAACTGACTGGGAGCCAGGAAGGTGTCCTGGCAGCCCAGAAAGCCCCCGTGTGCTGGGCTCTTGGCCACATTGAGGGCAGCAGGGAGAGGGAGGGGATTGTGCCCCTCTGCTCCTTTCTGGGCAGATTGGAGTTGTGTGCTGAGCTCTGGGAGCCTGAGGAGAAGGAAAGCAGGGAGCTGTTGGTGGGATGCAGAGTAGAGCCTTGGGGATGCTGAAGGGCTGGAGCTCCCAGTGTCCATGGAGACTGAAGGCAGCCCAGACTGGGAGTTTGTGTGCGAGGTGTGGGTGGTGTGTCCAAGGCTGTGTTTGGGCAAGGGAAGAGTTTGTGTCCCATTGTGGAAGGCCCTTCTGTACCAGTCTCTGTTGAGGCTTGTGAAATATTTCCTAGGAGAGAGCTGGTCCCTTTCCCAACTACCTGATGGCATCTGGTGCCTGAGCTCTGTGGCAAATGAAATTCTAAGAGTCTTGGAGGAAGAAAGGATGAGGAGGCATGTCATGTTTTGCTACAGGAGAACTTTATTGAGAGAAAGAGTGAAAGGGCAGAGAAGACAGTGGAAGGGATCTGGTCTGAGGTGCAGTAGGGCAACCATCAGCTGAGGTACTTGTGTTGTAGCAGATTTTGGCAGAGCCGGAGCTCGAGGTGTGAGGGAAGTTGTGGAGGGCCCTCAGCAGGTGGAGCAGCCCAGGCCTCCCAGTCCAGAGCAGCCCAGGCCTCCCAGGCCGTAGCCAAAGCCATGGCCATAGCCCAGGCCATAGCCTCCGTAGCCAAAGCCGCCGGAGATGGGCTGTCCCTGGACGTTGAGCTCCGTGCCCAGGGCAGCCCCTGCGGTGGATCCAACGAAGGAGCTCTGGGGGAAGGAGGTCATGATGGGCCCTGGGAAGGTGACGCGGACGGGGGAGGGCTGGATGAGGACGGTGGAGTCCTGGCACTGCCTGACACAGGGCTCGTTGCAGCTGTTGGCCAGCGGGGTGGGTCCGCAGGGGCGGCAGAGGTCGTAGCAGGCCATGGGTGTGGTGTGGAGGGGCCCTGGGAGGGCAGGCAAGAGAAGGGGAGAGAAGGTGAGAGCCGAGAGGGGTGCTCGGCAGGTGGGGGCGGTGGGGGTGCTCGGGGCGGTGTTGCAGGAGGGCTGGTCAGTGGGGAGGCTGGTGTGGGGCTGTGGGGAGGCGTGAGGGCTGCTGAGGCTGGGTCCGAGCGTGCTGGCCGAGAGGGGCCAGGGGGGCGGTGTGTCAGGAGCAGGAGGGGGTTGTGAGGGGCTGGAGGCTCACCTGGTTGTGGGCAGAGAAGGCAGGAGAAGGCTTGAGGAGAAGCGTGGCAGGGAGAGAGGCGCTGGGCCGGCTTTTATGCTGCTCCCGCAGGGGCGGCACAGCCTTGGCCCAGCCCTGTCAGCTGGCGGCAGCTTTGAGGAGTTGGGATTTGGGAGGGTTGGATGGTTGGATGAGTGTCATCGAGGGCTGAATAAACAACCTGAGCTCAGGAGAGTTGTGATGTCATCATTAAGGTGATTTTGTGGTCCTCGTGTGCTGTGGTTTGTGGACGTGTTGAGAATTGTGGATTCTTTTCTTCTGTGTGACTGGATGTCCATCAGTCACTGTGGTGTACCCAGGAATGCTGAGGGAGCCATTTGATGTCCCGGGGAGGCCACTCTCTATCAGCTTGCCAAGGTCATTCTTTGTGGGAGCCCTTCCTGATGGATGAAGGAGAACTCCTGCCCTTGTCTCTGGAATAGGATCAAGAGAGGGGATTTGGAAAACCAGAGGCCATTGAGGCTGAACTTGTTCCATTGTTGTGCTCCATTTGGATTTCTCAAATTTACAGAACAATGTTCTCTTTCATTGAAACTGTATTTTGGGGCGTGATTAAGAAATCCAATCAACAAAGACCCAACAGGTCTTGATCCCTTTTTTCCCAGGCTGCTCTGGGATTTCTATTCCCTTTTTCCACATTGAAGCCATGTGGTTCCAGAACTTGTAACCTGTCAGTCTCAGCCTTTTGTTGCTGTCAGCAAAAACCACTAATTGCTGGCAGAGAGCTGTTGTGCTGCTCTCTCCTTTTGTGTCCTGGTGCAGACATTCCTTTGGGGAATCGCCTCTGTGATTGCATGTCCTGCCCTTGAGGCCGTGTCCATGTGACCTTGGCAGCAGCTTTGAGGTGAGTGTTGTGTTTGGGAGGATTTGCCTGCCAAGTGCGTGTCAGGCAGGGCTGGAGGTGTGAGCAAAGCTTTGGCAGGTGGGTGCCATTGGTGTGGTCAGCCTGTAGCCCTGGTGTGCTGAGGTTTGTGGGTTCTTTGTGCCGGCAGGGCCCCGTCTTGTTCTGTGTGCTGGATGTACATCAGTCAATGTTTGGAACCCAGGAACTCTGAGGGAGGCATTTGATGTCCTGGGGAGGCCACTCTGCATGACCTTGGTCACAGTGCCTGGGAGCACTTCCTGATTAATGAAGGAGAGCTCATGGCCTTGTGTCTTGAATGGGATCCAGAGAGAGGAACTGGAAAACCAGAGGCTGCTCAGGCTGAACTTCTCCTGTTGGTATGGTCCTTTTGGATTTCTCAAGTTTACAGGACAACGTACTCTGTCATTTAAAGTGTATTTCTTGACCTCCTGAAGAAATGCAATAGGCAAACACCCAACAGGGCTCGATCCCCTTTTGCCCAACCTGGTCTGTGCCATCAATTCCCTCCTTCTGCATTCAAGCCATGGGATTTCTTAAGTTATAAGTTGTAAGAAAACTACTACGTAGTAACATCCTGTACGTGTCAGCAAATAACTCTATATACTAGAGGAAAGTTGGCATGCTTCTCTCTCCTCCTTTGTCCCAAGAAAGGCAATGCTTTGTGGAATTCCTCAGCTCCATGTCCTGCCCTTGAGACCGTGTCCATCTGACCTTGGCAGCAGCTTTGAACTGTGAGTATTAGAGGGCAAAGTCTGGAGTTGTTGGTGCGTGTCAGGGAGGGCTGAAGATGTGAGCAAAGCTTTGGAGAGGTGGGGTGTGATGAGTGAGGTGCCCCCGTGTCCCTGGTGTGCTGTGGTTTGGGGGTGTGTTGTGAGGAGGGGCCCCAAAGCATCCCAGCCCTGTCAGGCTGCTCTGGAGTTTCACACGTGTTGCCCCTTCCCTCCCCTTCCATTCCTCTCCCCTTTGCTTGCACCTGGCTAAGCCTGACACTGGACCTGACTTTTCCTGCTGCCTGTGCTCTCTGGGGGTTTTGGTGCCCCTCCTGCTTTTAAGGTTTTGATAGCTGGGGCCTTTTGGGCCCTGTCCTGGGCTGAGTGGCAGGGAGCCAGGTCCCTGCTCTGGGCATCCCTTCTGTCTGAGAGGCAGCAAGAGGATTTGGAGGTGTCCAGGGTTGTTGGACACAAGCACTGTGTGATACCAGAGAATGCAAACAAGGCCGGGCTGTGTCAGTGCCCAGTGTGGTGGGGTGAGAAGTGTGTGCAGGGCTGGGCCCAGATCCTTGGGATGAGTGTGCCAAAGTGCAGATGGGAACAAGTGTGCAGTGCTGTAGCCCAGGAGCTGCATCCATTGGGCCAAGACTGCAAAGATGAGTGGTGATGGCCATGGCCACGTCCTGGATTTGAGCAAGGGCAGGGGCAAAGTCCTGTTTGTGGGGAGGGGTCAACCCGGGGAGGAGGAAAGACTGGAGATCAACTGGATCAACTGTTTTCATAGAATTAATCTCTTATTAGGACCTGATTTTGTGTTCCTGGTGGAGAACAAATGGCCCAAGAGGTGGCCGTGAACCAGTGTGGGAAAAGAAGTCTGCAGGTGAGGATTGGGCAAGGTGTGATCAAGCAGTGGGAGGTGACTCTTGCTGCCTCCTCAGCACTGGTGATGTGCCATGTGAGGTCCGTGGGCAGTGCTGGGCTCTCCAGTGGAAGAAGCTGATGGACTTGGGGAATGCAGAGCAGTTGAGGAGCATCAAGATTCTGAAGAGGCCGGAGGATGTTGGATAGAGGAGAGGCTGAGAGAGCTGGGACTGGCAGGAGGAGACAGAGCTGGCCAGGGGAGTGTCCTGAGTGTGTGTGAATCCCTGCTGGCAGGGACTGAAGTGGAGGGAGCCCAGCTCTTGTCAGCAGAACACACGGGCAGGACAAGGGGCCCTGGACACAAGGGAAACCGATGGAATTGCATGGAGAAAGAAGACAAGCCTTGTTGTGTGTGAGGGAGGTGAGAGAGTGGCAGAGGAGGTGGAGTCTGTGTGCCTGGAGCTGTAACGCTGAACTGGCCATGGTCCTGGCCAAGCTGCTCTTGCGGGGTTGGTTTGAGCAGGAGGGTTGAAGCACTTGCACTGCATCCTGGCCCAGTGGCTGATGTTGGGTCTGTGCTGGGCAGGTTGAAGAGTCGTGGTGGGGAAGAGAGTTTGTGCAGTGTGTGCTGGAGTAGAGAGACTTTGGCAGAGGTGTGTGCAGGAGAGCCTTGTTGTGTGGAAGCCTTTGGTGTGGCTGATGATGGGTTTGTGCCACGTTCTGGCAGGGACACTCCAACCCTCTTCCGTTGCCCGTCTGTGTTCGTGCTGGTGACAGATTTGCTAAGAAAGGTGTTGTGGCCTTTCTCCAGATTCTCACTGGCTGTAGAGCCCTGGCCTTGTGCTGAATGAGGATGTAAAACCACTGGACTGAAAAAAGAGGAGGCCTGAGAGACTTTGATGCAGGAGAATTTTATTGAGTCAAAGGAGTGAAGAGACAGGAGCAGGGAGTGGGATGGGCGAGGTGTGAGGTGCAAGTAGGGCGACCATCAGCCGAGGTGCTTTGCTTGCAGGAGATATTGGTGCAAGAGTGAGAAGGGCAGGTGCAGGGGTGTCAGCTGTGGTGTCAAGGACGGTCAGCAGGTGCCGGAGCAGCCCAGGCCTGCGAGGCCAGAGCAGCCCAGGCCTCCCAGGCCGTAGCCAAAGCCACGGCCATAGCCCAGGCCGTAGCCAAAGCCGCCGGAGATGGGCTGTCCCTGGACGTTGAGCTCCGTGCCCAGGGCAGCCCCTGCGGTGGATCCAACGAAGGAGCTCTGGGGGAAGGAGGTCATGATGGGCCCTGGGAAGGTGACGCGGACGGGGGCGGGCTGGATGAGGACGGTGGAGTCCTGGCACTGCCTGACACAGGGCTCGTTGCAGCTGTTGGCCAGCGGGGTGGGTCCGCAGGGGCGGCAGAGGTCGTAGCAGGCCATGGGTGTGGTGTGGAGGGGCCCTGGGAGGGCAGGCAAGAGAAGGTGAGAGAAGGTGAGAGCAGAGAGGGGTGCTCGGCAGGTGGGGGCGGTGGGGGTGCTCGGGGTGGTGTTGCAGGAGGGCTGGTCAGTGGGGAGGCTGGTGTGGGGCTGTGGGGAGGCGTGAGGGCTGCTGAGGCTGGGTCCGAGCGTGCTGGCCGAGAGGGGCCAGGGGGGCGGTGTGTCAGGAGCAGGAGGGGGTTGTGAGGGGCTGGAGGCTCACCTGGTTGTGGGCAGAGAAGGCAGGAGAAGGCTTGAGGAGAAGCGTGGCAGGGAGAGAGGCGCTGGGCCGGCTTTTATGCTGCTCCCGCAGGGGCGGCACAGCCTTGGCCCAGCCCTGTCAGCTGGCGGCAGCTTTGAGGAGTTGGGATTTGGGAGGGTTGGATTGTTGGATGTGTGTCAGAGAGGACTGAAGAAAGAATTAAAGCCCAGGAGAGGTTTGATGTCTTCATTGAGGTGATTTTCTGGTTCTCGTGTGCTGTGGTTTGTGGGTGCTTTGTGCTGACTGGGCTCCCTCTTGTTCAGTGTGACTGGATGTCCATCAGTCATTGTGTCGCACCCAGGAATGCTGAGGGAGCCATTTGATGTCCTGGGGAGGCCTCTCTCTATCAACTTGGAAATGTCATAGTCCTTTGGAGCAATTCTTGAGGGATGAAAAGGGAACTCTTCCCCTGGAATCGTGATTGAGATCAAGAGAGAGGACCTGGAAAACCAGAGGCTGTTCAGGCTGAATTCAGACTGGTCTGGTTCCATTCCTATGGTCCATTTGGGTTTCTTAAATTTTCATGACAAGGTAGTTGGTCATTTAAACTTTATTTTTTGACCTCCTGAAGAAATGCAATAAACAAACACCCAACGGGGTTTGATCCCTTTTTGCCCAGGCTGGTCTGGCATTTCCATTCCCTTTTTCCACGTTCAAGCCAGGAGGTTTCATAACGTATAACCCGTCAGTTGTAACATCCTGTACCTGTGAGCAAAAACTATAATTCCTAGTGGATGGTCAGTGGGCTCTGCTCTCCTCTTCTGTCATGTTGCAGATGTTCCTTTGTGGAATTCTGGGATTCCATGTCCTGCCCTTGAGGCCGCGTCCATCTGACCTTGGGGGCAGCTTTGAGGAGCTGGTTTTGGGGAGGGTTCTTTTTTTGGATGAGTGTCAGGGAGGGCTGAAGAAACAAGATCAGAGGAGAGGTGTGACGTCATTAGTGAGGTGATTTTATG